TAATCCCATCCTAGGGGAAGGAGGAGGTCACTGAAATTATAATATAACTCTCTTAAGACTGGTGAAGCATATTCACATACCTTTTCGCAAACCAGATAACTTTATTTAACACGGTAAAACACTCAGAGATGTTACTTCAGACAAGAGACCTGCGTGGCGCGGGATTTCTTGGAAACTGTCTCGTATTCTTGTTACACATGAAAAAAATTACGAACACCTTACGCAGGCAACCAGTTCAGTCGACAGGAGCTGCTCCTGTTCCATGCAGTAACCTACACTGCAACTAAATAAGTTGGAGAAACACTGCAGTAAGCTGGAGATATACATAGATGGAGGACAAAATAATGCGAACACCTGTGAAAAAGTACGACGTATTTCACACCTGCAGTACAGCCACGCCATTTGCAACAAAAGTCTGCCACCTAGTTGAGCGTGAAGAGGAAGGTATCAGTCTCTCAACAGCAGTCACCTGCGTTGCATGCTTCGATCGAACTGTCTGTGAGACGTTGAAATGTCAGACCTGTCAGAGTTCCAAAGATGAATGATAGTTGGAGCGCGTTTAAGTGGAGCATGGGTTACGGAAATAGCAAACCTTGTGGGATGTGCAAGGAGTAGGGTGTCAGCCGTTATGATAGCATACACGAAAGAGGGTAAGACGACGTCTTCAAAGCACAACAGTGGCCGAAAGTCAAAGCTGGCTGATAGGGATAGACGGGTCTCTTGAAGCACATAGTAGCCCGAAAGCACAAGCAATCGTTATCCGAGATAGCATCTTAAATGAATAGTCATCTACAGGACCCCGTTTCAACAAAAACTGTCAAAAGGGAACTTCATGCTACGAACATTTATGACAGAGCGGCAATTCGTAAAGCTTTGGTGAGAGCAACTAATGCTTTCAAGCGACGCCAATTGTACAGAGATCACAAAGGCTGGTCCCCACAGCAGAGGCAACAGGTAATATGGTCAGATGAATCGTCATTCAGCCTATTTCAGAGGACCGATCGCGTTTTATGTCTGGAGAACGCCCAAAGAAGTTTCATCCTGACTGCCTCTTGCCGACTGTGAAGCATGGAGGTGGCGCCATTATGGTATGGGGTGCGATATCTTGGCGCGGTCTTGGGCCACTTGTTATTCTGCATAGGAGGATCACATCCAATCATTATCTAAGCATTCTAGGTGATCATGTTCATCTTTTTGTCTAGATTGTATTCCCTGGGGAGCGACCGCTTTTTCAAAACGACAACGCCTCCGTCCACACTGCTAGGTGTATTCAAGAATGGTTTGAAGAGCATGCAGACGATGCGATTGAACATCTCGCTTGGCCTCCTCAGTCTCCGGACTTGAATATTATTGAACATTTATGGGCATATTTGGAGTCCAAACTTCGTTCTCGACTTCCACCTCCAAAATGAGCAAATCTTTAGAATTTCCGATGCAGTCTCGAGCACAGGAGATAAGATTTTTTTTTTTTTTTTTTCTGTACAACGTTGCCATAGCTCGCTTTGAAATCCTTGAGTCTGTTAATCGAAAATTCGTTAAAATTTTTCAAAATATAAAATCAATAATAAAACAAATTCCAAATTCTAACTCAGGGCATCCAGATACATATATTCGGTGGAGAATTACGTTATTCAAAACTGGATGCTCTAGGTACCGTTGTTTTATCACAATGCGAGAAACACACATACATTTATGCAGATACTTCACTATTTAATTTCTTTAAATATAACACAGGGCGATAGTATTTGGTGGCAATAATTCGAAAAGCGAAACGAATATTTAAAGGTTTCGACACAAAATACCGTAAGGAAATTTAATAGTTCTTATGGGCTAACGCCTTTTAGGCTAATAACTCTACAAAACTTTTAAACATTACAAATTCCTCAACTTTATGAAAGCTTATGTTTAATTTTGTAAATTTTAACGATTTTGTTTCAGGAGGTTTCTTTGTCCCTTTCAACCAGATTGTTAAGTAAATGCGACCATATAAACAATCCTTAAAATGAGGGAAAGATTTGTAATACAATGCAAATCTGCTCCTCTTTAACGAAAAAAAAAAAGTGGTAATATGCAAATATGTTTCTCATTACAAAAATATGTAAATAAATAAAATAACATAAAAAATACAAATAACTAATTTTCCTGTTTGAAGAAACTTCGGAGAGGAAACATTAACAGAAGAAAAATTATTATTTGGGTTCTGTAAAGAGCCGTGCTGTATCCATTTTCTACCAGCTCAACTTAGAAAACTTAAAAAAAAAAAAAAAAAAAAAAAAATCTGAAATGTTTCAGATTTTAAATTACGTCCAAAGGGGCGTTTTTTAACGTTTTGAGTGTTACCTTTATTTATTAAATATCATGTTCTTTGCACTTAAACCATAAAATTCAGTTCAAGAGCAATATCGCAAAATAATGTTAAATTAAGCATATCTTTAGAATTTCCGATATACACAGTCTCGCGAGCTGGAGATAAAAGTATTTTTTTCTATATAACGTTGCCATTTCTCGCTTTTAAAGCATTGAGTTTGTAAATCAAAAATTCGTTAAAGTTTTACAAAATATAAAATCTATAATAAAACAAATTCCAAATTTGGGATTTCAGATGCCCATATTCGCAGTAGGATTTCGTCATTCAAAATTCGATGGCTCTATGTACCATTGTTTTATCACAATGCGAGAAATAGACAATCATTTACGCAGATTTTTCATTATTTCTTTCTTCAATATAATGCAGGACTCTCTAACATTTTGTGGCAACAGTTTGAAAAGTGAACCGACGTTTATGAGTCCGACGCAAAATCGCAAAACGAAAACAATAGTCCTTCAGGGACAAAGCCCCTTTGGACTAAAAAAAAAAAAAACATTAGTCAGAAGTATACAAAATAAACTAACGGTTATTTTTAAGTTAAAATCACAGAACTTTAAATTAAATTCGCTAAACCGTAAATACGTTATAGTCAGTGCTTAAATTGCGCCGGGCTCCGGTGCTTCTCAATTTTTAGGATAAATTACAATTTTAGCCGGAGCGCACCGGAGCCCTAAATAAGATGAGCTCCGGTACTTCTTTTTATAAAATTGAGCCACAATTTATAGGGAAAAAAATTTAAAATTCTTAACGTTTTAGTTTAACAATAAGCAGACATTGCAATACTCTATTTCCCTAGAAATACGAACTCATGAGAACATGAGACGTTCAAGTAAAGTTTCCTCACTCACATGCGGAAGACTTTCTCTTTAAGAAAAGTAATAAATATGGGGGGGGGTTATTTAGGAAAGCGTAATTTTCTCGCCATGTCTTCGTATCTAGTGTATTGTTATCGATGCTTACAGTTAGCTATCCTCGCAGGATGGAAAATTTGTGTTCTTAAATGTACGTTAAGTGACAGCGAGTACAATAAGAGTGAAAATACTGAGATAAACTGCTCCAGCGCGTCCTATACATTGTCTTCCCACAGTATCCACTAATGGGGAAGAAAGCGTAACCAGCAACTTTACATTCATCCTTAGGAGTCAGATTCAGGACTCATTTTACCCCTGACACACATCTGCTTGATGGCTACTATTATATCAGCAGAGAGCCGCGGTCAAAAAGAACGTTCTCTCTCACCGAGATTCCCCTCATTCTGTTTCGCCCTAGAATTTTTATCAGCTATACTTTAAATATATTTAATGTTTGCGATGATAAAAAAAAACTCCCCCCCCCTTTGGATCAGAGCTTAAACTGGAGCGGAGCCCACTGGATCTCGGCTCTGGTGCATCTTAATTTTTGTAATAAATCATAATTCTAGCCTTAACGCAACGAGCTCTGAATAAGAAGGCTGCAGCACTTCTTTTATGTAATTGAATAACAATTTCGGTAGAAATTTTATCTCGAAAGTTTTAATTTAACAATAAAATTATAAAATCGCGTTATATATAAATATAAAATGATAATTATAAATTAATTATAAATTAAAAATTTTATTAAATTCTAATTATAAAAAATCGCGTATTAAATTTCCATTTATCTCTTTACATTTTTTAATTTTAATTATTCAATTCTTCAATCTTTAGTTATTTCAATAAACAATAATTATCTAATTATCAATTAAATTGTAATTAATTAATTATATAAATAATTATTGATTAAATAACAATTTATAAACATTAATTAAATAGCTATTAATTAATTTGATAATAATTAACTATTTAATTTTAAAATTATTAATGCTCTTAATAGTCATTTTATTTATTTATTTACTCTTGTTCCTCTTTGCTGACGGTCTTCCATAGGGCTCCGGCACTTCTAATCTTAGAAATTAAGCCCTGGTTATAGTAGATTTGTTATAAATTGACCGTAATTTCTGTTTTCTATTTTTGCACACTTGCCTAAATAACATGCTCATAGTTGTGATTCTATGATGTAACCTTTGGATGAAAGAAAAAGTTATTTGATATTTTTTTAAATGATAATGTAACTATTACAAATGAAGGATAAGGTACTTAATATTTAACTGAATTCATTTATCTGGGTTGATAAAGAAGAAATGTCATTGTGTTTGTGGTAAGATAATGTTGTGACGATAGCACTTCACCAATAGGGAATATTAATAATTCACCAAGGATTCGGCTTAGTGACTGAACGGAGAAGCTGTATGAAATTTAACGGTTTTTTCCTATTGTAATTAATGTAATTTATTTTATTTTATTTTATTTTATTACGTGCTCCGCCATTAGGCACTACAAGGAAAGGCAGGGATGTCCCGTGGAGGACTTTGTAAGGGAAATTGGCTCGAATCCGCCTTACACATGAAGAAAACCACGTAAACACTCTTAGAGCTAGCCCATCGCCGAGATTCGAACCCAGATCGAACTACTCGTGTTCAGCGGCTTTAACTGCTCGACCGCTGATGGGTTCGTTAATGTAAATGTGAGTCATTGTTCTTGATAAAGTTCTCCGGGAAAGCATTTTTTAAAGGCAGATACGACTCGGAAATTTTTCCGTAAATAATTAATCTTACTCTAAGTGATAGACAGCAGAAAAGAAAAGGGATAAAAAATTAAAAAGTGTAGAGTTTGATCCTATATCAATCCACATTAGAAAAGGGCAACATTTGTTAATAGCAGATTCCCAGAATTCACAGCTAGAATTTTGCTTTGGAGTTTCTTCTATCTCAAGAGATACTTCGTTGTACTGGCAACGAAAAAAAAATTTAAAATATACATATATCAATCAGTTTAAACAATGAAGAGCAATAGCAAAAAAGAACATTCTTTTGAGTTTGCAGATTAGAATGAACAGAATTAGACCTAATAAATTTTTCTTTAAAATCTATTGAATATTTATAGAAATTTATTCATTGCTGAATGAAATGCTGACTAAACTAAACTAAATTGATTGTTGGATTCGGAAGCAACCACTATTATTATATATTAAATATTTTCGCAGACGATTTTAAACTTATTATGTTGATTTTTATTATAAAATTAGCGAATTATAAATAAAATTTATCTCAAAAATTTGTACTTTGTTTGAAGGGGTGAGATTGTGCACAAAGACTTGTCACAAATACCCATTTCTAAGCAACAAATTAATTTCAGTTGAATCATGAATTCTAGTTATAATATATAGATATAGACTAATTAAACCGAAAAATTATACAAATGGGACTTGACAGATTTTGCCAGGGAAAAGGTAACAGATAAACATAACAGATTTTGCCAAGAAAAATAAATATTATTGTTAGATGACTTGACCTCCTACTGATAGCATAAAAAGTGTGAAAACAATAATATAGCTTTTTCCTTTTTGTATTTTATCACAGTGCATTATGTTACTTGATTTTTTTAAGCAGTTCTTTCTAACTTAATCCAGTTTCAATTTACATAACCATTATATTTAAGAAGTTTTTAATGAAATTACATCAGTAATTTTTTTTTCTTTACTTGCTACTTTTTTGCCTCTTTAGTTTTAATTTAATCAATATTTACTGCGTAATATTGATTAGTACTTTTATTACTTTACACAGTAAATATTGACTGTATAAAGCAGCAAACTTTACACAGTAAATATTTAATCAATATTTACTGTGTAAAGTTTTAATAAGGATCAGATTAGAAATCCAAGGAGACTGTAGTGGCCCAGTTATAGCATGAGTAATAATTATTTTTAATTTCAAGTATTTTATATTTTTGCATGTGTTTAATTATTTCCTAAAAATAACGTTTTGTTAATATTTATATTTCTTTCATGCTGAATGGCAACAAATAATTATTCATATTTATATTTATATTTCTTTTATGCTGAATGGCAACAAGTAATTATTAATATTTATATTTTTTCTTTTACGCTGAATGGCAACGAGAAGTGATTCATGGTTTTCGAATGATGCTAATCTAGCAACTCATTTTGATATCTGAAATATAAAGCAGTAAACTTAGCTATTTGTTTGTAATTTTTCATGTTCCATATTATAATTTAGTTTGAACATCAGTAGTCAAACCTACTATATAAGCAACTCAGGTATCGTTTAAAATATTAGAAACGCGAAAAGGTCTTCCACCAACACATTAACGATATATAAATAATGATAAAAAGAAGTACATGTGAAAGCAATTACCTGATCAAAAACGCAGCTCGTGACTGCAGCGCGCTCTTGTTTCCTCCTCTGACCGCGGCGCCTGAAAGCGGAGCTATTTTTATAGCAGATTACAACGCGAAAAAAGACAGACAATCGAAAATTATCATCTGATCGCTAGCGATAGAATATCACAGAGAAGGACTGTACCAACTCCTATTCTACACACAGTTTAAATCAGAAGTTCTGAGCAAATGTATGTGATTGAGAAAGATAAAGAGGAATAATATACCGCAACTACCAAATGATAATCGAAATAAAAACAGTAAATTTTTATTAACATGTTGTATTCGAATATGATGGTTAAAAACTTTCTATTAGCTCAAGTTTTATTAAAGTCCATGGAATGTATTTATTCAGCGACTTATGTTACAGCTGCGGAAAGTTAAAGGTTTGTTCCTACAAATCCCCATTTTATTGTAATTTTTCTAGCATGCACATACTTTTCATAATCCATACTTTTTCTCTTATTTATTACATAAATTTCTCAGAAAAGATTTTGCAGCTTATCATATTGTTAATTAGATGTACAAAATTAGCAAATCTGGCGATGATTCAGCCAAATTTGGCAGAATATTAACTCCCAAAATTTCAGTTTGGGAGCTTAAATTTTAATTAACAATGTTAATTAATTTTCATTTGTGTTTTCTTTTTTTCTTAAGCTTTCCAACGTATGTAAGAAAATGCTTGTATCATCAAGCAAGTATTGATATCACGAAGAGAACACGAGGTTTTGATGAAGACAGGAAATTTAAATTCAAAAATTAGTTATTTGCATAACGTATGGAAATCAAATTATTTTTCTTTCTTAATGGATAACCCAGACCTAGAATATTTACTCAACAAAAAAAGTTGCATTCATATCATTTTGAATAGAATGGTGATCAATCAGATTTCTTTGTGATCTTTTATTTCCTTAGACGAAGTAAAGGAAATATTAAAATCGCGAAAAATTTCGAGAATCATATATTAAAGGAAATATCCATTTGGAATGTTCCCGAATCCATTTGGATTTTTTTTTGGGGGGGGTTTGCATGACTTTTCTTCATACGGACATAATAAAGGACTTTTTTTTCTCCCACCCCCCGAAACGGATTGTAAAATGGATCCAAAAGGGATCCTTTCATGACGTTTGTACGTATCTTGCATCACTGAAAAATGATTAGCCATAGAACACTGAAATTTTGTATATAACATCTAGTTGTGCAAATCCCTTTTTAATTGTAATTGGCAGCACCAAATATATATCTATATATAGGATGATTCTAAATTGTTTTTACAAATTAAGAGGGGTGATAGTACCCATCCAGATGAGCAATAATTACCATAGAACATAGGATCGCATTCCACTCTGAGAAGCAGAAAAGAGGAATATTAGAATTCCAACTTGAACGGAATTCTAATATTCCAACAGTGTTGGAAAGCGAAAGAACGAAAACAAAAGTTGCGCAATCGGTTTAGTGAAAAACTCGCAGAGAATGCACAAAACGGATAAAACTGAAAACTTGGCGTTCGAGTGTTAATTCGAGCTCAGACTTTGATGGAAAACATTCAAATGCACATCTTTGGTTCGCAAGGTCTCAACCTCGCAAACGATTGCAACAAGTTAATTATCGGTACTATTCGGTTTCGAGGGCCGTAACAAAACTGCAGCGAAAATGTACGCGCAAAAGCGCCAAATCTAGCAAACGCGCCCATTTAACAGCGCACCAAATCTAGCGTACGCGCTGATTTCAGATTGCGTAAGTTTATATAGTTCTGTATTTCTTAAAACGCCATTGAAATACTAGTTTAATTTTTAAATCCTTTTTTGATTTTAAATCCTTTTTTGATATCCTATGGATTAATTTGGGAATTGCCCATGACGAAAACTCGGCAATAGAATTTTGGGTAAAGTACAGAATCACCCACTGCTTGACGCGTTTTTAAGAATGGCACATACTCGGTATCCATGTGCACATCGACCCATTTTCACTTAAAAAAAAAATAAATAAAAATACTAAAATTGCACAAAAATGGCACTGTGCACACCCTTGACTTTATCTATGTTCACATCGACCTATTTTCACTTGAAAAGTAAAAGAAAATTGACAAAAATCCAATTGTTTTTACCCTTGTAAAAAGCGGCAAACAAATAAGTGCGCGATTCTGCACTTTACCGAGAATATTTTCAAAGAAAAGACATCATTCATTATAGAAAATTATGTTTGGAACAACCAGCGAGATGAAATTATGCTTTAGCGATAAGTCGGTAGCGAAATAGCGATGCAGGCATCCATTCAGTTATGTCTAGCAATTTTTATATAAATTATAATAATGATTTGAAATAGTTATTTACTCTTATGCTTCCATTCAGTCATGTTTAGCCTTTTTCATATAAATCATAAAAATAAAAAGTATTATATGAAATTAACCTTTCATCTAAATTAAAACATCAATCTTAAATAGTTATTTACTATTATATACCTCCTTTCTTGCCGCAACTATTAGGGTTGCCGCAATTATTTTTGGCAGCATTGGCATCAACAATAGTTTGGCGATTTTTTACGGCCCTCGAAACCGAATAGTACCTAATTATCTAATCAAGGACTAAATATTATCAAGTAACTCCAACTTCCGCTGTAAGCCGAGATTAACATGAAAAGTTCGTGCTATGTTCCGGCTGTCAGAACTTCGTATCCCATAAAAGGGAGCTTCAAGTAGAATGAGCACAGCACAGTAAGTCCAGGAGAACAGGATAGAAGATGGCGAAGGGGAAATAACTGCTACCTTGATAGTATCAAACCTACCTCGAGCTGAAATAAACCATGATACATGTGAATGTTTGAATGTATGATTTTTGTTACTAAATTTAAGTAAATTTTCATTTTCATTGCTAAATTTGATATATATTTGTGATAAGAAGGAAATTACAAATTAAAAAAAATGACATCCTGTTTAATGATTAGCAGCTTTTAATACGAACACCAAGTCATTGTGTATATTATTGAAGCTCTTCTGTGCATTACACAAAGGAAATTTATTAATTTTAAAACGGATAAGTAATCATAGAAAATTTACTAATTTTAAAACGGATTTGAAGTAATCATAATAGTTCATCGTTATCCTAAAATACAAAAACTAGGCATATACATTTAAATATATCGAAAGACGTCGTATTAAAAAAAAAAATCACTCTTTCTACTAAAAACTACAATGCATAATTATTACAATTTAATTATGTAATATTAATGCATTAAATACTTTTTTATTTATTCCGTTGTATGCAGTAAAGTAAGTATTGTAACTACGAAAAATTTCGGGTATCATATTTCAACAGAAATTTCCATTTTGTCCGTTCCCGAATCTATTCATGGCCTTCGAGAACTGTTCCTCGAAGGCCACGATCTATTCGGATGTTTTTTAACCCCCCTCCCAGGTCTGCATATACGGAATCAATAAAAAACTGTTTTTTTCAAAACGGATTGTAAAATGGATCTAAAGTGGACTCAAAAGGAATTTTTTCGTGACATCTGTACGGTGGTGTGGCTACAGCGGACGTGGTTAGAGACGACAC